ACATACATACATACATACATACATATATACATACATACATACATACATACATACATACATACATACATATGTACATACAGACAAACATTAAAAAGATTTCTTTTAGAAAATCTTTTCAATTAAAATAATAATCACGCAAATAGTGAAATATTTTTGCTTACATGAAAACAACAACAACAACTGCAACAACAACTGCAATTGCAACAACAACAAAATCACAAACTTCGTTTCCCAATTGACAAATTGTATTAAAAAACGCGACCGTTTTAAGGTCATATTATGGACACAATCATCATCATCGCCACGGCCATCATCATCATCATCATCATCATCATCGCCACCAGCCTCATTATCATTACCAGCATCTGCAACAAAATCATCATCATCATCACTGCCATCATCATCGTCATCAAAAAATAATTTCAGATTGAAGCCAGGCTCGTTCGAAGGATTTCAAACTTCAGGTTGTCACACAATCACCGCGACATCATCATCATCATCATTGTCGTCGTCATCGTCATCATCATCAACTCCATCATCATCATCATCAACTCCATCATCATCATCATTACTGTGTGGTCGTCATCATTATCATCATTATCTTAATGCAGATTTTTTGTTTCACAGCAGCGACATTTAAAACATCTTCATCAGCATCAGCATCTTCATCGCGTTCGTCATCTTCATCGTCTCCATCGCCATCAGGTTTGTACCTCCAGGAATGCGACCTTGACCGACTGGACTACTCGATATTCGCAAGCATTCGCCCATCCCTGAAGTACCTCTGGCTAACCGGAAACAAACTGAGGCACATTCACGAAAATTTCTCTTCTTTGTTTGAAGGTAAGATGGTAGTTGAGACTCCAAACATGGTAGATTTCCAATGGCGGCATTTTGATGACCCCTACAGACTTGCTGTACCTGCGGTTGAACTCGAACCCTCTGCATTGCGACTGCCGACTGCGGTGGCTACGAGAGCTGGTCGAGAGGAAGGTCCAGATATTCAACGGTACAACTCTGCCCTCGTGCAATTTCGCTGCTATGACGTCATCGCCGACAGCAACAACAGACACAGCAGCGTCAGCAGCTGCGTCGAATGATTCAGATTTTGTTTCGTCGAATGAAAGTTCATCATCATCATCATCGTCGTCATTATTATCGAGAGATGTTCCATTGAATGAGACTCGCCTCGCTGATTTCAAGTGCTGGGTTCGTATCTGTCCGACGATTCTTTTCCTAACTAATTTGTTGA